AGCCATAAAAATCACACAGAGTTTACACCAGTGGCAGTTCCCAGGGAGGGGAAGCGCCAGGATTACTACTACTGTAGTTAAAACTTTCTAGCCCCAAATCCTTTCTACAGGCTCTGCTGCAGAAGAGCAGCCCTGGTCACAGTCTCTTTTGGGAAGGAAAACGAGCTGCAAGCCCCGCAACACCTCCTCTCCCAGCAAAAGCGCGAGCGCGCACCGTCGCATTAGGATTATTTTATTTGAGAGATCAAAAATTCACTTTAAAACTGGCCGTCACACCACAGGCTGCTTGCTCCCCTGCCTACCAGGCGATGTTATGGCAGAGAAAGAAAATATTTATGCTGGGCTTCAGAATTCAAGCTTATTTTTAGTAAGGCGCCTTCCCTGTGGTCCTTTACCTCTTTTTTGTTTATTTGCCATTTTCCCCCTGTTTTGACCCCAAAGCCAGCAGTTCCTCATCTATTTTCAGCCTCACCCAGGCTGGAACATTTGTACCAATGACTTGGTCATTGTGGGGAGAAAAAACCCATGAACTAGATTTTGTTAAAAACAAGATCCCAAGCACCATCCAACCTTTTCCAAGCACGTGTGTGCATATTTTGCTGTATTGTGCGGAAAGTGCACAAATATCAGTGTATATTTTTAACAGCTAGGGTTGGGGTTTGTTCATTTTTTGTCCCAAAAAGCAAAGCAGTAGCCCTGCATACCGTGGGCACAAGCCAGGGCTTGTTCCTGGCATCCCCTCCGCCCCACTGCTCCCCAGGATGCTACCCGCTCCTCTGGCTTGGACCTCTGCTCCCAAAATGGTGACAGGATTCAAGCCCCGCTTCTCCTTTGACCCCTAAAAAGCAATTTCCGCACCGCTCCAGCTCCTGATGGGGTGCCCGGACCCTCCACCCCACAGGTGGGAGAATTTGTCCCCATCCCCCACATCACGGAGGTCACAGGCAGTGGGCACAATGCCAGCACGGGGGGCCTGTCCCCCTCGCTCCTGGCCGGCCTCGGCTCTGTTTACCGCCGGGCTGTTATCAATCTGCTCGGGAAGGACAGTACCCAAGATAGCTCCCGGGGTGACTTCAGAGTGCGCTCAGCTCCTCCGATAAAGCTGTGGGCAGCGCGGCGGGAGGA